CACACACACACACACACACACACACACACATACACACATGTATGTGTGTTTATATGTATTTATAGTCTACGCATGCATAGAGTTGGCCTCTGAATCCATGTGTTCTACATCTGTATTCAACCAACTGAAAATGTAGTTAGGTCTATTGTGTGTGCAACTGTACTGAACAGTATAGACCTGTTTTTATGGTCATTGTCCCCTAAACAATATAATTGTTTATATATAAATATAATTATATAAATATAATTGAACAACTATATTCATAGAACTTAAATTATATTAGGTATTATAAGAAATCTACAGATTATGTAAAGGATACTGGAGGAGGTGCGTAGGTGACATACAAATGCAAATTCTCCACCATTTTATATGAGCATCTTGACATCTGTGGATTTTGGTGTCTATACAGGGTTCTGTAACACACACAAATGTTTTTCAGGTTCTGAGGGACCACTGTGGGTCCACACAAGTACATATATGTGTGTGAATGGGTGTGTGTGTGTATGTGGTATGTGTGTGAATGACTATGTGTATGTATGCATGGCATAAGCTATATGTGTTACTGTCTTGTCTTACAAAATTCATATTATTGAAGTTGAAGACTAAGAGATTAAAATAAAGACTATTTGTTGAATAGTTGTTAGTCACTAAAATTGTACAGCTTATTTATGTTTCCCTAAGATAAATTGGAACACACCGCAGTATACACATATCCCTATAGTAGAGAAAAATTAAACATTCCTTTGCTGAAACCTGAAATGCAGAGAAAATTCAGAAGTTCCCATATATGTTGCTGTTTTTTCACCCATACATTTTTTTTTTAAAAAAAAATAATGGTGTAATCATGCATTCAAAATAGTTAGTGATCATTTCCTTTGGGAAGTCTCTGTTTCAGGTGGCCCAGAATGAAAGAAAACAAAGTCCTTGTTAATAGAGATCAGATTCTGCTTGGGGGAAGTAACCATGTAAATGTAAATAAATGAATGTGAAATTTTCAAATGCATTGCTATGAAGAAAATGAAATACGGTGCCAGGCTTAAAAAGTAATGGGAGCCTGATGAAGGCTGTGATGAATAGAATGGTCATAGAACCTTCCTGAAGAGGGATCATGCATAACAGCATAGACATAAATGCCAAGCTAAAACCAGCAATGCTAACACAGAAGTGGGATGTGACAGAGGGGAGAGCAAATGCAAGAACCCAAGGTGTAAAGGAAGCAGAGGAGGTTTCTGAAAGATGGGTTGTAGACGTTTTCAATCTTGGAAGTTCTGCCTTTAGAAAACATCAATGTGATCATTTAGCTCTGTCATGTTGAAGGTTAATGGCGTGGATCCTCCCTTTCTGGAGTCAGAGTCCTGCCAGGTAGCACTGGTCAGATAGCACCCCACCACCTTGATATTATCGACTAAATGAACAATGAAGAAAAATATGGCAGGAAAGAAAATGATATAAACTGGAGAATGAATGAAATGATCAGGTAGAAGAATACAAAAACTACAAGTGCCAATTGGATCTGCATACAAAGAGGGAAAAATTTTGATACAGTTAAGATGACTAAGGATTTCTGTTTGAGCAAATAGTTTAGGAGTGAGCCAATGAGATGCTTATAGGGGCTTATTTGAGATAAGCCACACAGTCAGGTATCTGAGGCTTTAGGATCTTATTAATTTAACTAAGTAATGCATAATGATTACACTGATGTTTTCTAAAGGCAGGACTTCGAAGATTGAAAAGGACTACAACCCATCTTTGTTGGTGAAAGAGGTGGGAAAGTAATCCAAGCATTGAATAAAGAAAGTGCATCAAAAAAAAAAAATGTATGGTCAACTTTGTCACCTGTTGCCCTTGGGTTAAATCCTTTGAAGTCACAGTACTGGTCACTGGTGAGAATGAAAGTTGACATAAGTGGGCTTAATAGAAAATGAGAAGAAAATGTAAAACAGTGAATATAGGAGATTAAAATGTATTTTGTGTAGAGGAAAGAGATGGTAGCAGAAATGAAGTAGGAATGAAAATAACCTGGTGGAGTGGGTAAATATGAAGGTAGAGAGTGATGCCCTGAGTTGGTGGGAAGCCATGGGATGTAGCTCCCACAGGACTTTCCATCATGGGGATGCAAAACAGAGTTATCGGGTGCAGAGGTTGGTAGACATTTGGGAGTTTTGAAAGCTACTTTCTAGTATGTTTAATTTTTTTTAAGTAAATGAGAAATGAGGTTGTCAACTAACTATGAAACTGAGGGAGGAGATATTGGAGATATTGCTTAGAGAGCAAAGGCATACACAATTGAGCATAGAAAGCTTAATATAAACATGGGAGTATTGAGGAATCACCTGAGTTTTCGGTTCAAGAGTTGAACATAGGAGCAGTCAAAGTCTATTTCTGTTTTATTTTTCTTCTTGCCATTTCACCTAAATGGATACAAACTCAGTGTTGATGGAAAATTTAATTTCATTAGATTTGTGTCTTTGTTCAAATAAAATATAATG